TTGTTCTATTGTGCACACAATGTATATATATATATATATATATATATATATATATATGATCACCATATGCCTTATATTTCATGTTTTTTTTTAGTTTTGTTTTTTAATTAGGCTATTTTATGATTGTGTGGATATGTTTGGTGACACCAAATTTTTATCATCAAAAATAATAGTCTTTGAAATTATTTTATGATTGTGCTCACATTTTTGTCACAACTAATATACATTTAATCATAAACTTATTTAAAAAAAAACAATTAATTTTAATATTTTTTAAAATAAACCTATATTAGTTGTGAAAAAATATTAGCACAAATAACTACAAAAAAAACTAATAATTTTTGAAAACGAGGCTGGGAAGTTCAATGATAGTGCATGCACATCACAGAGAAGTCTATTTGACGTCTGCAAGACGTAGGCTATTTTTTTTTAGAGCGTTTGCTCATCTGCAATAGGCTACGTCTATAGGACGTTTCCTATCAGATGTCAAATAGACATTTATTAATGTCTTTAAGATGTTTATGATTTAGAATGTATGTAAAACTGACATCTTACTGTCAGATGTTTGTACACAGAAGATGCTTTCCAGATCAAACGATCTTTAACAGACATCTTGCAGACATATGTGCTATCTTACTGTAGGCTAACAACACCGGTACGAGACTCGAACCCGCAACCTTTGGGTTACGAGTCCGACTCTCTAACCATTAGGCCACGACTTCCCCTATCGATTGAAGAAACATCTTTAGAAAAAAACACCCTTCACTGAAAAAAAAAAATGATTAATTGAATTTAATAAAAAAAAAATTAGGGTAAGTGGTTGCAATCAATTTATTTTAGCTACATTTAAAAAAAAAATGTAGCTAAAATAAATTGATTGCAACCACTTACCTTAAAAAATGTAGTATAATTTTTTAAGTGTTTAATTAACTTTAAACTTTTATTTATTTAATTAACTTTAAAATTACGTAAAATGTGTACCATTTTAAAGTAAGTCTTTCCCTCACAGTCTCGTTTTCATCCGCATTAAATTCAAAATGTCATCTAACCAAGGTGAAGAAGAATTTCACAATAAATGGTTTCTTTCTTTCACGGCAGGTAAAGTTCTGTGACGTGTTTTTCCCCTACATCTCAAGAATGAGTGAAGTGTCACACTCACCCTGTCCTCTGGGTGGCGTTACAGTCGAGCCTTCCATCAGATGGGTTCATGTCCAGAGCAGCTCTCAGACCTATATAAGAGAAAATGATAGATACAGGACCATCTCTCTCATCTAGGTCAGTGGATGATGGAAGAGAAAACATATTGTCACAGCTGAAGGCTTCCTGGCATATGGCTGTTTGGACTGATGTTCTCTGCACAAGGCCAGTCTGTTCACTGCGTCATTCTCAAGGCTTCATAGCCTATGTGCTTTCACATAAACGCAAGCCTGTCCACACAACTTTTACTGTAAGGTTAACTTTTCTTAGGCCTTGGCTAGTTGTCACAGTTTACTCCAGGGAATATTTCTCAGGCTATGTATATTTATTTATTTATTTTTATGTAAATGCTATAGCCTACACAATGTAGGCTATATTTAAAAGTAAACGTAGCCTACAGAAATATCAAACCAGCCCTTTGGATATTTCTCCAACATATTGTGCAGTAGCGAATTAGACAAGAAATTGCCATTAATAAGTTATATAGAATTACAAAATATT